TATTTCTCACATATGGAACGCCGTAACGTTATGCCAAACTTACATCTTAGAAGGGCGTATTTCTCACATATGGAACGCCGTAACGTTATGCCAAACTTACATCTTTTTTTTCGTAGACATTTGTTTAATTAAAGGATTCATAGCGTACTGAAATGTTAATACTTATGAGTTCGATTCTCAAAGGTGGATTTCTTCACAAAGTTTTATTGATATTTAACTGCTATTAGTACAACCCGATATTATTATGCAAAACAATAACATCCGTAAATATAAACCATATACGGATGCGCAAAGGATCACTGAAAACATTTGACGAATTTAGTTAAACTTGTAAATGATAACTTATATTAGGCGAATACGAATGAAGAAACGTCAGTTTTAATTCAAAGGCAATGTTTGTTTTTATCATCAGAGTCAGACAAGAATTGTAATTGTTACTGAGCTTGAAAATATTGTTCCTGAAATCAGAAACTTTTTATATAAATCAAAGCATTAAAACCTTAATTTTACTTCACGTGAGAAATGTAATGAAACAAAACATTTATAAATGGCAGGTTATTATTTATTAATTGCATGCTGCAATTAATTTTTCTATACATCTTGCTCGACAATGTGGTCTCATTTGCTGTAATGTTCTAAGAATGCTGGTGTGAATATCCACACATATTCACACCTAAGCTGTTTTAAACATCATTATTGCTCCACAGCTTACAAATATTTGTGTCTGTATTCGGTAAATAAAATTTAAAAAAATCTTGTTCAAACTAAAGTGGCACTCAATAGAGTTTTTTTTTTCTTGAACTCTAAACTCAATTATGTGTAACAGGGATCGGTTAATAGCTGTTTCTATGACCATTAACGGTGGTATGCTATACTCTTCACTGAGTCAAATCAAATATGAAATCAGATTCATTATTGATGAGGATCTGTTTTATTTTGTTGGTCTAGAGAGTTTCTCCAGTTTGTTTCTTTTTCTATCCTAATGACGTTTTAAACGGAATAATACGAGATTAATCTGACGTAATTACACGAAACAATATTACCCATCTATAAACATACTATGTATTGTGAGGTGGTCCTTAACCGGCGTCCTCTCGATGTACCACAGCTTTCTGAGAATTTACCTTGTTTTAGTGTGTTTTAAGTTTTGCGCAAAGCTACACGAGGGCTATCTGCGCTAACCGTCCCTAATTTAGCAGTGTAAGACTAG